CCCCCAAAAAATTTTTTTTTTTTTTTTTTTTTTTTTTTCCTTTTTAATGTTGTTATCTTTATTCTGGTTATTTTTTTTTTTTTTTTTTTTCCCCTTTTTGTCTTTTTTCGTGACCGGTAACAGGATCACAACCCTCGGTGTCGCGCTGGTTATTCTTTTTTTAATGGATTTTACACTGCAGAGGTTTTAGGTTCACAGCAAAATTGAGCAGAAAATACAACATTCTCATATACCCTATCCCCTATCAACGCTGCCCCCCCAACAAAATGGTATATTTGTTACAACTGATGAACATATATTTGTTACTGAAACCCCAAAGATTCGTGTGCTCACTGCTCAGTAACCAATAATTGAGAGACAAGTGTTGGTATTAAAGGTAGCCTTTACAGCCTGAGGAAATCATGGACTTATGTCTCAAAGACCATCTCCACTTTTCCCAGTCTTGCCAAAGGGTTTTATAGGGACAGGTGGTAGGGGATTGATTCATGGTGACCTAAGCAGAGACCTGCAGGCATAATCATAAAATTGCAGACAAACATCGAAGAACTTCTCGGGTGGGAGCTGATTCATGGGGACAATCCTTTATGAAGTCAAGTCACGGATTCGGTTCCTGTTAACCTCAAAAAGACCTAGTTAGTAAGCTAGTAAAGAATGGCCATCTGAATTAATAAATTTTCTATAATTATAATGTGTACAATGTGAGCAACCATTATGTTCTAGCAATCATGTGAACAAGAATAATTGTATTCTAATATTTAACTGCAGGCTATGTGGTTCGGGTTACAAGAGTAAGGGGAAAAAAACTTTTTAATTTAGGAGTTTAACAAAATAGAGTCACTTCTATTCAGGCTGTTACATATTCACATATCATTATTACCCAAAGTCCATAGTTTACACAGGGATTCACTACTGGTGGTGTGCAATCTATAGGTTTTGACAATATATGAGATACTGCTGCCATAATAATGTCACAGGGAATAGTTTCACAGCCCTAAAAACCCTCTGTGCTCTGCCTGTTCATCCCTCCCTCTTCTCTGACCCCTGACACCACTGATCTTTTTTTTTTTTTTTTGTCTTTTTGTCTTTTTCCATGTCCGGCAACGGATCACAACGCTCAGTGTTGCCCCCGGACCGGACCGGGGACCAGCAACGGGACCGCAACCCCCGGTGCTGCCCCCGCGCCTCGCTCAGCCAGTGAGCGGGAACCGGTCCGCATGTGGGATCTGACCCCTCGGGCGGGAGCGCCGCCGCGCTTCCCAAGCGGCGCACTATCCAGTGCGCCACCGGGCCGGCCCACCACTGATCTTTTTTTTTTTTTTTCTTTTTGTCTTTTTCCATGTCCGGCAACGGATCACAACGCTCAGTGTTGCCCCCGGACCGGACCGGGGACCAGCAACGGGACCGCAACCCCCGGTGCTGCCCCCGCGCCTCGCTCAGCCAGTGAGCGGGAACCGGTCCGCATGTGGGATCTGACCCCTCGGGCGGGAGCGCCGCCGCGCTTCCCAAGCGGCGCACTATCCAGTGCGCCACCGGGCCGGCCCACCACTGATCTTTTTACTGTCTCCATAGTTTTGCCTTTTCCAGAATATCATATAGTTGGAATCCTACAGCCTTTGTAGATTTGCTTTTCACTTAGTAAACATGCATTTAAGGTTTCCCCATGTCTTTTCATGCCTTGATTGGTTTGTTTTGGCACTGAATAATATTCCAGTGTCTGCATGTACCACAGTTTATTTTTCCATTCACCTACTGTATTAGTCCATTTCTGTTGCTTACAATAGAACACACGGAACCAGGCACTTTGTAAGAAAACAATTTATTGCTTACACTTTTGGAGGATATTCCCAGTGCAGGGAATACATCTGGTGAGGGCTCTGTCCTGGTGGTGACTACAGCGATTCAGGTTATCACATTTCAAAATGGTAGAGCAGAGAAAACCTCTCATGTGCTCTTCTTTTAAAGCCCTCAGGAACATGCCCCTGACCACCATTATTAATTCATTCACTACACCATTGTCCTACAATCTAATCACCTCTTCAAGGCCCCATCTTTCAATTGCCATAATAGGATTTCCCACCCTCAACAGCAGGGATCAAGTTTTGGGGGGACACTCAATCCAAGGCACCTACTGAAGGACATCTTGGTTGCTTCCAAGTTTTGGCAATTACAAATAAAGCTGCTATAAACATCTGTGTGCAGATTTTTGTATAGGCATAAGTTTTCAACTAATTTGGATAAATATCAAGGAGTGTGGTTGCTTGATCAGAGTATGTTTAGTTCCATAAGAAACTGCCAAACTGTCTTCCAAAGTGGCTGTACCATTTTGCATTCCCATCAGCAATGAATGAAACTTCCTATTGCTCCACATTCTCATCAGCCTTTGGTGGTGTCAGTGTTTTGGATTTTCGCCATTCTAGTTAGTGTGTAGTGGTATCTCTTTGCTATTTTATTTTGCAATTTCTTAATGACACAGGTGATGTGGAACATCTTTATATGATAATTTTCTTTCTGTATATCTTCTTTGGTGAGGTGCCTGTTCAGATGTTTTTGCCGATTTTTAAACTGGGTTGTTTGATAACAGTCCTTTATCAGATGTTTTTTTAACCTTGACTAACTTTAAAAAAAATTTTTTAGGGCCGGCCCATGGCTCACTCGGGAGAGTGCGGTGCTGATAACACCAAGGCCCTGGGTTCGGATCCCATATAGGGATGGCCGGTTGGCTCATTGGGTGAGCATGGTGCTGACTACACCAAGTCAAGGGTTAAGATCCCCTTACCGGTCATCTTTTAAAAAAAAAATTTTTTTTTTATTTCTTTCATTGTACATGTTTATGGTGTACAGTTTGTTGTTTCAATACATGCAACATTGTATAATGATGTAATCGCAATAGTTAGCATATCTATTACCCAAATATTTATCATTTCTTTGTGGTTATAACATTCAAGATCCTCTTTTCTGGCTATCTTAAAATATACAATATATTATTAGCTATTGTCATCCTAGAGCACC